TAATAATATATTTATTATTTACTTTATATAATATTTTATAATATATGTTCCTATATATATATACACTTCACTTTTTGACTTTAAGGGATGCATGTAATGCGGGTACGGTTTCTTAGCTTGAAACACGGGGCAATGTTAGACAACGAAGAAAAGGAAAAAGATAAAGATAAGGAGTGGTTGGTAACTGCCTTATCTGCCATTGAAAGTTGAATTTGAGTTTGAGTTTGAGAAAACTGTCTCAAATGAACAAAATGCTTAAAATATTATCTAATATAAATATCAGATACTGAAGAGTTATGATTCTGAAAGGTGTATCTATTTTATACCGGTGTAAAAACACCGGTTGGGAATTGTAAATAAATAACACAGTCCCAAGAAAAAAGATTAACTCTTCCAGAAATACTCTGATTTTTCTTCATCTTCTTCCTTGAATTTTTGCACTTTGCTTTTCAAGTTTCAGTATATTAGTTGGGTAATTAAAGTTTATTTTAGTGGGTGTTATATCCTGGGAATAACGTTTCCTACAGAGAGATGGAAACTATTATTCTTAAAAAAGGTTTCTAGAACTACCTTACTCACACCAATTGCATCTACAACTCTCTGCATACAACATTACATGCTGTGTGGAAAAGTTCAAAGGTTACGGAAAAAGAGTTATAATTTATGGGGAATATCTTTCACTCCCCATAACTCATAAACAATTATGGGAAGCTCATTGTGCAGGAATTCCTAGTGTGGTCGAAGGCAAAAAAATTAATTGGTTACGGTAGTGTGGATGAGAGTATGTTTAGCTTTGACCAGTGATGTTTATTCCTTAGATTATGTGCTAAAGATCTCTAGTAATGTGTCTTTATGTGTGGGTGCTGCCAAGGTTATTAAAATCAAGAGTTTAAGTGAAATCGTTTTTGATAGTTAAAATTCGAATAGTAAAATTAAATTGATAAAATCAAAAATATATTAAATTTAATATACAATATAAAAATTAATAAATTATAATATAACCTTAAAAAAAGAAAGTAGATGTTGGGTTTCCAATATTATGGTGCAAGTGTTGGGTTGAGTCCTGATAGTTTCATCTCATGTAATTTTTGGATATTAGTCATTATGGGCCAAGGCTCACAAGCTCATTCTTTTCCTTTTTATAATATTTTCCCCAAATTGTGGGATTTGAAGATCCCAAATGTCGGATCCAACTCATTCTGTCATACATCATTTTCCTTTTTTATTAATAAATAATAATCATTCATCTTTTTCTTCGTGAACAACTGTGATTGTGAGCAGCACATTAAGCACCCAGATCTAAACTCCCCCAACCAACTTCGGCCATATCAATGTGATGGTTGTTATTGATCGT